TTTGGAGGACAGAATTTTCTTAACTATTCAGATACTGTCATTGTATTTAGATCAACAATGCCTAAATGTTAGGGGAGAGGGCCAGGGAAAACTTACCAGTTGGCAGGTAGCTATGAGTATTTTCCCTATTTGCTTATCTGTTTTAGAGTAATTCTTTGAACTCCACAATGAGCCCCCTACTGTTCTGAACCATAAGAACTATCTATGACCACTTCCGGAAGTGTGGCCGTAATACTGATTGAGAATGATAAAGGGTGCAGCATGAAGCCAATCCCAGAATGGAAACAACAGCAAGCTCTGAGAGACACGCTGCAGATATTAACAATAAAAAGAGCTGGTGATTCTGTTTAGGAGAGAGCTTGCTTTGTGACAGTCCATTAGGAATCTCTCAGCATGGGTTCAATTTACTATACCTTATTAGGAAGGGACTAATTTTTAAGTTTTTGGCTATGTAGGAAAGACATTATTTACAAGGCAGAACATTATACATAGGCAGGAATTTGGCATTTCTGTAATCACTTTCTTATTATTATTTGGAAAATATGGAGCTACACATCATAATATTCTGAAGTGCTGGGGCTATTCTTCAAAAGCAAAACCCAACAAAAAAACCCCCTGATCACCACTGAAAAGAAAAGAAGCCCTCCAAGACACAGGGATATGTTGTAAAAGGGCAAGCAAGATGCCAACATGATTTTTTTTTTTTAATGGAAAAAAAATCTTTCATCTATACCATTAGATTTCCACCACCCTAAGTTTTAGATGGAGAAAACAAAATTTTCTATTCCCATGAAGGTATCTGAACTCTTAACTATATTACTTTAAACTAATTTCCTATTTGTACTTTTTTAAGTTTTTAAAGGGCAAAAAGAATGATCCCAATGGCTGTGGACAACCCAAAAGAAAAACTCTGGTCAGAACAAATGTAAATTATTACAACCCAGAAATAAACACTGTTTTGACTGCTGTCGCAAAAGAAAAATAGAGAAAGGCAAACCAATTGTGGGGCATAAGCTCCTGTACACACTCGTCTGATGTGGAGGCTGTAAGTGTGGCAGGCCAAGCAAAATAAGCTGTAACACCTACACTAAACCCCTTGAAGCAATTGCTGGGCATATACCAATGGTGTAGTGAGTAAGATGTAAAGAAAAAATACTCTTTAATGAGTATAAGTAATTTTAACTTCTAAACAAGGGAACAGCCACTATTTGTAGTTGCAGTGAGGATCTCGGGGCCTTCATCAGCACAGAAAGGCAGTTTTGGAAACTCACTGGTTAGGACAGTTATTACAAGAGACGTACAGAAGAGCCTCCAGAAGTTGGGGATGGCGGCACATGCCTGTAATCAGGGGGATGACAGCAAGTTCTGCCCGGCTACACAGCAAGTTCAAGGTCACCCTGAACTACATATTGAGACCCTGTCCCGAAAAAAAAAAAAAAAAAAAAAAGAAAAAAAAGAAAAAAAAAGGAAAAAATAAACAACAACAAAAAGGCTCTAATACAAGTGATAAAAGGCTTCCAGGCTGGGGGCACATACCTGTAATCTGAGCACTCTGGAAGCCCGAGACAGGAAGACTGCAAATTCTAGCCCTGGGCAATTTAGTGATTTAGGGAGATCTCTTCTCAAAAAAGAAAAAAAAAGTGGGGTGGGGATAAAGGCTCTGAATCCAATCCCCAGTACCAATAAACGAACAAACAAACAAAAAACCAGGAGGGGCAATGTTTTTTGTTTGTTTTTGTGGTGCTGGGGATTGAGCCCAGGGCCTCATACATACTAGGTATAAATTCTACTAATCACTAGCCCTGGACTATTTTCCAAGTTTCATTTTCATTTCTCAGTGTCCAGAGAGCAAAATGCACAGACACATTTGGCATGAGATCTAACTCACTATTGAATAAGGCCCATGAAAAGGATTTAAAGGGCATTTTGTGAGAGCTGATAAGCAAGTTAATTATCTTTTCCCAGGTTTTTTGTTTTTTTGTTTTTGGTGTTGGGGATTGAACCCACGGTCTTCATTCTGAGCTATATCACCAGTCCTTTTTATTTTTTATTCTGACAAACGGTCTAAGTCACTAAATTGCTCAGGTTGGGCTCAAATTTGTGATTATGCGGCCTGCCTCAGTATCCCAGTATGCTAGCATCACAGGAGTATGCCACACCGGATTTCCCAAAATTTTTAACGTGTCTTCTCTAAAATCAGAAAATGATCTCATCTGCAGTATCTTCTACACATGTCGTAAGCATATTAAAAATATACTTGCAGTTAATTTGTAAGTATAGGTGTGTTTGGAAACTACTAATAGTAAATGTAAGTAAGTTATAATTTGGGTTGGCTATTAGTTTGGAGAACACAGAATATGTAGTAGGGATAAATGTACAAAGTCAAAGAAACCTTAATTTACATAATTTTTCTTATGAATTTTTGTTTAAAAGGAAGCACTGTGCTTAAAAAGTCATCAATTAGATGGTATCTGGAAACAGTCTAGGATCAGCTTGCTATTAACAACAAATTTATTAGTAAATAGATCTGAATTTCTAAAGAATTTATGTATAACTAGAGCATGACATTCATTATATATTTTACTACAAATCCTATGGGTGGGTGGAGTATTAATGGACTGAAATAAAGATTAGCTTAGAAATTCAATATACTGTTTTCCAGTATTTTACTTTCTAAGCTTGTTCAGGGGTGAACTGGGCATGGTTATTAGTGTTAAATAACATGAACCATACAGCTGAGTGATAACTCTAACAGTATTTTTAATTCAAATGTTAATACTGAGGAAATAAATTTATGTATCTATGCTTCAAATAAACAGAATTATTAAAAACAGCACCATCTACCACACAAATGACTGTATCGATTCTTTTCTGTAACTAAAAAGAGAAAGCCTATCAAATAATCGACTAAGTGGAACAAAATGTAGCCAGAAGCTAAAACTGAACAAGTCTTCTAATAGAAGTGGAACTAGAGTAGAGGTTTCAAATTTAAGGAGAAGTTTATCCTTACCATCTTTGGAAACAGAAGAGCTGAGAGCAGAGAGATCTTGCCTCATTTAGAGTTAAATAAAGGAACTGTGAACTTATTCCTCCTCTCTATCATAATCAAGTCTAAAAGAAATCTGTAAACTATTAGAAGTTATTAAAATAGGTGTTGTGGGGCAAACATTTGTCCTCAGTTTTTACTTGCTAGTTTTAGTGTACCTGTGCCTTTCAGGATGACGCTTCTGTACTCTAACACAATTTTTAAAAAGTGCTAGAATACAGTAGGTGAAATCTAATAGAAGGTTTAAATGCTAATAAATAAAATTCACTTAGATACAGTTAAGTAATTTTTTCTGAACTTTTTTCTTCAACTTTGTAAAAATGAAATTAGTATACTTGACCTTTCACCTCAATGACCAAGTAGGTTAAAGTAACAAATATCAGGAGCAAAGGAAAATCTGTACAAGTTACTAACTGGTAGAAGTGAAGGCAGTGTATCTACAGAAAACAGAACATATTTTGAAAACATTTTTTAACACAATGTTAAAATGCATTTGTTTCCAATTTGTTAGGTAAACAAGGTGAAACCAAATAAAATACTCAATATTCAGTTAATTAAGGATACTGGGGAAGATGTTTGGTGCAAAATCAACAATAAGAAGATCAAAATTATGAATCTAGATAACTGCAATGAGCATAAAGCTACAGGTCTTTGTAGAAAGTATGTTAAGACAGGGCAGTGGTGAAGAGAGGCTAAAGACACACAATGAACTGGTACAGAATTTTACTCTGGAATGAAGCTCACAAATAATTATGCAAATGCATCAATTCAATAGAAAATGCTTTAGTTTTGCCCCTAAGACATGTCTAGAGTACTTCTCTGTATACTCCAAGGATATTTTGAAAAAAGATGTGTACTCCTGACTTTTAATTTGTCTCCAAAAGCCATCAATACTGCCACTGAATAACTAGATTTACAAAGCTGTCATACACCTTCAGAAAGAACTCTACTAACAAGGGATTTATTATTTCTATTATACTACTGAAGCAATATTAAAATGTTTACATTCCTTTTCAGGGAGGCAAGAGGACAATGTACAAAACCTAATGCAGCTTTGGAGGAATACTATGTCAGGTTTTCATATGGATAGTTTTCCAACATTTCCTGAATATTTCCCTGGGTTCAATTGATTAAATTAGTATTTAATATTGAATTTATTTGAATAAACTGAATCTAAGCTGTGTTTTTTCTTGTAAATGAAGTTTCCTACTAAAGTGTAAGGGATTCTGGTTTATCTTATTAAAAAAATGTTTCCTAACAAATATTTTTGAACTTCTAAGGGTCTTAAGGTCAACATCATAATTCTAAGATGTAAGAAAAACATATTACATTTAGCACTTCATTATGTATATATATATATATATATATATATTTTAAATTGAAAAAGGAAAGTATTCAAAGGATGATTATAATGATGCGAAAAGCTAAGCATATTTAGTTTTAAAGCACAAGGAAAGAAAACATTAAACAAAACAAGTGAAAATAGCTTCTATAAAATTTTTATAATATCAAGACCATTAATTTAAGCAGAAGAATGCTTAAAGGACATGCTTAAGAAGTAAAGAAAATAAGCAGAATCATCCCTACATTTAGTTATCTCAACTTATCTAAGAAAAACTCTGCTTGCTTTTTTTGTCATTTTAAAATAAAAATACCCCTCCCACCCTATCTAATGGTGGAAAGGTATTCCTTAAAAAAAGTATTACAGAAAGTGAAAATAGTATTAGGCACAACAGGTAAATGGAAAAAATGGCTTTAGCATCAAACTGCAGAAATATTAATAGGGTGGATTTTTATTGCCCTATTATATATTATTTGTTTTCTAATAATCTGTAAAATAATCTGGAAGTTTTTTGATTTTTCATTTTTAAAATTACTCTGTGCATGACAAAGGGGCTGTCTTTACTGAGTTCACACCATTGTTCATCAGACAGCATGAGTATCTAGCAGTTACCGTGAAGTTCCAGAACCAAGGCCCCAGGGTTCCTGTGAGAAGCTGGCATATTATAATTATGATCTGGGACTCTGTAACATCGAATCTATGCATAAGGAAACAAACATTTCAAAATAACTTTACTCAGAGCTGTTGCTGAAGAGCCCTACTAAAACAGGTAGTAAAAACAGATTTAAAAGGTAGCATTTTCCTTATAAAGACACCTAAAGTTTAATTACACAATTTATATACTACTATACTGTCTTCATACATACACAAATACTTCTTATCCAAATCAAAGTAGTAGAATATTTTAAAAAGTTAAAATTGTGGCACACTGAAAAAATGACTTGTAAGCAGACAGCTGGAAACAGTACTAAAAAAAGAGTCAATTCTCAATTATTTAGTGGAGAATATTACTTGTCAAATAATTATACTGCCTATGATACAGATCTTTTCAGTACTGGAACTAGCCAGACTTCCCTGTAGATAGGAGATATATTCCCAGTCCCTACTTTGCAAATTTCACTTCTATTTATGTATTTTAAGAAACATAAATCATAAATGCATTTGGCTTGAATTCTAATTCACTATTTGATGAGGGCTATGAAGGAATTTAAATGACTTTCTGTGAGAGCTGCTAAGCATGGCAGTAATCATTTTTTCCCAGAATTTTTATCATTTTTTTCCCTGTAAATTCAGAAGATATTCTAATATATTTTTCCTCCCAGAAGCCCTAATGTACATACAAAAAACCCACCAATCTCCTACTTATTCACTACCCCAATCCTCATCACATTCTAAATTGTGCTTTTTCAAACTATTAGCATGGCATTTCAAATTATTAGTACGGCATGCAGAAAGGGTGAAAGAATCTAGTCAATGTGACTTCTCTTTTGATATAAATACAGCAAAAATCAAACTGGCTATCTATTCTATTGCCTGATGACCTTAAATCCAGAATTTTTCCACTTTTTTGTTTTCTAATTCCACACCAGCATTGTAACTCATTACTACACTGGATTAGTTTACTAGTGGTTTAAAAAAATAAGAACACCTAGGTCAAACACTGAAGTTTTAGAACACAGAGGGTGACAGAAGAAGAGCGTACAGCTTCGGATAAACACTACACCAATCAAAATTAGGAACTGAGGAATGGCAATATATGTCCACAATTTTACCTAATGATCAGAGTGCCCCAAGTGTCACCTAGGCTTTATAGTAATACAAATTTTTTAGAATTATTTTTATAACGCCTGATAAAATCAAGTAGACAGAGCTGGGATCCAAATGCATTAATCATTGCTGAAAAAAAACTGCAAAGGGCAGCTACAAACTAAAAAGAGTATCTCTCGTATTTCATAATTCATGTGGTTAAGTATTAAACACATAAAAATATGCAGATTCCATATAGGTATTTGATAGAACATTTGAGAGCTTGCCTGGAGGTTCTAGCAGGGGAGTGCAGCTACTCCTACACCTTTGACCAAAGAAATGGTCCTTTCTATGGGGGTGGTCCTCTTTTTTGATAGAGCATACTGCTTTGGGAGGGATGCACAAAGAACGTTGAGGAAGCAAGGGGACACCTGCCTAGTCAGCCAGATCAGCTGAATCAACTCTGGCGATCAATGGGGTGACAGATGTTGCAGTCAGATCACCCTCACAACCATGATAGAACATTTCTTAATTCTTTTCCCCCAGTACTGGGGATTGAACCCAGGGCCTTTGCACTAAGCTGTGTCCCCAGCCCTTTTGAAATTTTGAGACAAGGTCTAAGTTGCTAAATTGACCTGGCTGGGCTTGAACTTTATCCTCTTGCCTCATTTTCCCAGTGATGAGATTACAGACATGCGCTGCCACACCTAATTCTTCAACAGAAAATGGACTCCACACTAATAAACAATATTTTGCTATTTATTACAGGAAGTCTTCAAATAATTATTATGTAGAAGTTACTTGGATGAGATGAACTATGTGACACTACCAGTGAGACAGATAGTCTATTAACTTTTTTCATGTAATTATAGAAAAGAAAAAATTATAAGTTATTTGCCTACATGCAAATAAATGTTTGGTGGTATGGTTTTTAGCTAATGTAAATGTGAAATCTTAGAAGCATGAACTGAAAAATGTAGTGATTGTAATGTGAAGATCATAGTTTATTTATTATAAATAAGTACATGAGAAAAAACATAAAATTAATATACTCATAGTCTTTGTAAGTAGAAAGAGTATTATAGAATATTTAATCTAAAACTCATATATTATAAGTCAGGAAATGAGGTTCATGAAAGCTGTGAGGCTTGCTTAAACTGATATATGGATAAGATAATATGGTAATAACACTTGAATCAAAGTATACTGGCCTAGCTAGGAGTTATGGTGCATGCCTGTCTATACTTGGGAGTCTGAGGCAGAAGATCACCAAGTTTGAGGCCAGCCTGAACTATGTAATGAAACCCTTGTCTCAAAAAACAAAAAGCAAATAAACAAACAACCCCCTCAGCCCACACAAAAACAAACGAAAAACTGGCCTGAGTTCAATTCTAATTACTTTTTTTTCTCTTACAAAGATAAAAGTGTATTATTTTTTCTGAAATAATAATTTAAACAAAAGTTCTGCCTTTAGCAAGTGGAAGAATATATGTTTTGCATATAGTTTTTTTTTTAAAAGATTGTTTAGGGTTTCTAAGCATTGAATTTATAAAAATGACTGAGTCATTTACAAATTTATAAAAATGACTGTAACATCTTCAAGTTGTAAATTTAATTTAGTACTTAAGAACGGAAATGTGAATTCTTCTACTGAGTAAAATCCATAATCATCTTAAAGAAAGTTTAATACATGTTTATAAATGAGCTTCAATTCATAATATTTAATCTGCTTTCACCAACCCATCTTTCCATTAAGTCCTTTAACCTCATTATCCTCCGCAATCTTTCATATGTAAAAATTCTAGGAGGCTGAATGAGGTCAGGAAAAGCCCCACTGAATATCCAGGATTCATTTCTGGCAGGGCTTCACCTGCTCAGTCCAAGAGCACGGTAAACACAGGGGTCTGTTCAGAGGTGATAGGTTCTAACATTCTCCACGAGGGGCCACTTTTTAGCTGTGACCAGAATACAGTGCTGGAATACATAGCTCCTAATTCCAGGAAACATGTATCCAAAGGATATTTGCTTTCTCCTAATGCTAGACTCTGAGTAGCAATTAGTTACAAATGAATGAAAATCTTGTTAATTTTGTTAAAGATATTACGAGCAAACTTAATAGCAATTCAGGATGGTGACACTAAAAAGACTAAGGAGCCAGGTGCAGGGTGTATGCCTGTAATCATAGCTGAGGCAAGAGGATCACAAGCTTGAGTTCCACCTAGGTGAAACAGTAAGACTCTATCTCAAAATAAAAAATCAGGAAAAGGGGCTGGGAATGCAGCTCAGTCGTAGTGCATACCTGAGTTCGATTCCTACTGCTGGGGGTTAGGGGGAACTATAGAAAAAGAGAAGAAAAATTCTTTATTTGGCAAACATTCTATTTTATAAAGCTATTAAAAGCATAGCTCCCTGGATCACATATTGACAACAATTTTTCAGGATTCCTTTTACTATGCATATAAAGATTAAAAAAAGGCAATTCTAATACAAATGTTTCTAAGTAAGATTCCTAATGCTCTTAAGGCTGTTTTGTCTTTCCTCTAAAAAAAAGTACGAAAAAGTGACTTTAAAAAATTTCTTTACCTGAACTACTTTTGAGTTTGTTTTGTTCTTTCCTTAATAAGCAAAGTAAAATTCTGACTATCTCCTCCATGCAAATTTTAATATTTCATCTATTACATATCAGTCTATTCCATATCCTCTTGGAAAAATATGTGAAACTTAATCACATTTTAAGACTTCTTTAGGCTCATATTTATGTATTCTATATGCCTCCACTGCAAAGTATGTTTCTACGAATGCTGTGGCCTGCTTTCAATTTAAAAAATATATACTGTGATGCTTTAATGCAAATGTAGAACTTCTAAAAACTGGATTTGACTCACAAATCCAAACCAATCCCTTATACTAATATTTAACTTAAAGTCAGATGTTAACTTTAACCTCAATTACTAAAAATTTTTAAAAAACAGGAATATAAGGAAGATTAGTTTTAGTGGCAAGTTTTACTTGTTATCTTCTCCCTCTATCTGCTACCCTAGAACTTCTTTCATTTCATATCTGTACCTATCTTGCTACATAAACTCTCCCCCTCGTCTCTTTTTTCAGTATCTTCAATCTTTTTATTAGTGGATTTTTTCTGCATGCTCAAATTATTTTTTCATTAAAAATACAAAACTCCCCAACTTGGAGCCAATATTCTCTCCATAATCAATGTCTCTTTCCCATCACAGGTAGGTAACTTGTGTAATGTTTAAGTAATACTCTATTTATTCCACTCTCTACAATCTGTCTCTGCCCCACCATTATTCAGAAACTACTAGGGATGGCTCACATTGTCAAACTCAGTGTACATTTTTCTGCCCTCATTTTGAGTCTTGGCAGCATTCAGTACTGTTGTGTTTTAAATTCATCCCTCTTTTGGTTTTTAATTCCAGCATGCCTCCGCTGATTCTGGATGTTCAATATTTTCCATGAGCTTCTAAGCTTCCTCTTTTAAGGTTTTCTGCTATCCTTATTCTATTTGGATGTCTAACATTCCTCACATACATTTTCTAAGTACAGTTCTCCTCTGAATAGGTCCCTTTTTATCCAATCACCCAAGGAGACATCTTAGCATCCCCCCCCTTATTTATCTCTTCAACCCAAATAGGGATTATATTTTATAGTTTCTACCTCCTGTTTTTACTTTTACTTTTGGTTTTTTAAGACACTGTCTTGCTCTGTAGTTCAGGCTAGCCTTGCACTCCCTCTGCGGCATTCGGTGGTCCTGACTCCCTAGGTGACGGGATAGCACATGCCACCATGCCCAGCTGTTTCTACCTCTAAGTCTCTCTCCAGTCTATCCCTTTCTCTAATGAAGTGCTGCTATTTGTGTGAGCTCAGGCTTTGTCACTCATGTTGGTTATACTGATGAGTCTAACTGGTCTCCTTGCTCTGTCACAACCTACTTTAGTTTACCCCCTGCTACAGTGGCCTTTCAAAAAGGTACTTCTGTCATTTCCTGGCTTTAGATCTTGCAAAAATTCCTTAAAGATTCGGAATAAATGCCCTTATTTTTTGGCACAGCACAGAAGGCTCTTGATTTTCTGGATCTTTGTCTCCTTATCTCCTGCTACTCCCCTACAGGCATCTTATGATTCCACCATCTGGACCTCTTGCGGTTCTGCAAATGCAAACTTCATTCCAGGAAAACATTATGTGGGAAATTCTAAGACTGTGATACCAAATCATTACTCCTAAAAACACTATTTGTTTTTCTCTTACTTCCATGGTTCATTTTTCTCTTTCATTTAGTTTCTATACCATATGGTTGGTGGTGCTTTACTTGGAAAAGAATACATTAAGACTGGCTGGTAAGTAAGTTTTCAAATACTGTAAAGGCCTGCAAGGTAACTGCAAGACTCAATCCCTAGTACCAGGAAAATGTTAATTGTGAGATAATACATAATGAAACATAAAACTGAAAACCAGATGGAACAAATTTTGTCATTTCTCAAAACAGCAGCATTACTAAAAATTAAAAATGAATTAAGACAAACCAGATGGTTGTAGAAGTTTATTATATTTTGTGGTTACCTAAAGCAGAGAAAGACTGGAAATATTAAATACAAACTGTAAGTAATGTTGAGAAAACTGCATATTTTCAATTACTGTTTTATAACAGAACTCTTTACTATTTTCTTTTTTTGACTGTATTGCACATTTGTTGGGTTTTTATTATTAATTTCAGCTTTTTTATTGGTATGTTTTTAATATTTTCTTAGCATTGATCATTTTATAAACTGCTGATGAATGCACTGGCATATAGTTTTCACTCAGACAATCATTTCTGCTGTAGCCCCTAATAATGACACAACATTAAGATGGGCCTTAAATGTATTTTCTAAACCCCTTTAGTTTGAAATTAATTGTAATAAACCTCATTTAAATTGATATCATTCAATATATCAGTAATTATTCAGTTATTGCCATAAGGACATCTTAATTTCTATTTAAATAAACTTAGGATACAGTCATCTGAACTTGTAGTGAGTGATGGAATTGTTATGTATTCTGGCTTTTCCAAAGTCTAGAAAGCTATGTTCACTAGGTATTTAAATTTTTTTTTTTTTAAATCCATGACTCGTCTTAGAGATGAGGTTATTTCACTTGTAATTTGCCATCAGGGATTTTTATTATGACATTTCATGAAGTACACTATCTTTTCTCAAGTTTTTTTTTTAGAATTTTACACCATGAAAAAAAGGATAACCTCAGTGATACTTTTTAAAAGATGTTTATGTTTCATTTTTAAATTCTCATTCATTTTGATGGCAGTAATAGACTATATGATGCACTTATGTGTACTGAATTATTAAGAGCTAGAGTAGTATAGATTCACAAATGAAATGTGAAAAAACCTAATTAAGCTATGACATTTAGAGATGAGAATTACCCTTTGCTCTCAAAAACTGTTTTATATTTCCAAAAATGCATTTTTATACATCCAAATACAATATGGAGTTAAGGTGAATGATAGTAAGGGAAGAGGTGAATTTTCCTGGAAAGACAAAAGGCGATGAGTAAGAAGGGGCTGCTACTTTTTTATAGCTTTAAAAATGCTAGTTTGGAAGCTCTGTATTTCCTTTTAAAAAAGAGTAAAAGAGAGATTATTAGTAAACAACTGAAATTAATAGTTTCTAGACTTTTTATTTATTTAACTCAGTGACCTGATAAATACCAAATAGTCTCATATTTGAAAGTAAAAATATTATTACCAATAAGTGTTACTTACATTCCAAACCGTAATGTTCCAGAAACGTACGTTTGCCAGTGAGCACAATAAAACATGAATGTGCCAGCAAAACAACAAAAAAACATCCAATCAGGATTTGTCCCAAGTTGCACTGCAATGCAAGTCCCAAGAACCACAAAAACTGCAGAAGGAAAATCACAATGAAAAGTTAACAATATGAGTAAGAAGCATTATCTGAGCTAGACATGATTTCAGATGATACAAAAGATATTCTGTGAATGTACAATCTCTTCTTATTTATCAGTGAGAATAAGAAAGTAGGGTATAATCTTTTACACTGACTTTTACCTCATAACTTCAATCTCTTTTTGCACTACACCATTTAGTAAAACCGAAGCTCTTAAAAGCAAAACAAATATTTTGCTATTTTGTTTCAGTAGTCTCTTAACTTACTGATAGTGGTACGAATGAACAGTAAAAAGGTACAAGGCAAAGCAGCAAAAGAAAACATTAAAAAAAAACAAAAAAAGAGCCAAAATAATCACAAAGGGACCTATAAGCTTCAGATTGATAACTGTCTTTTCTTATTCAGCAGGTATCATCATTATGGGTGACATGTAGACAAAATCTTCCTATAATAATTTGGAACTCAAATTACAATGCAAAAATGGTTGTCATTTCAAATGAAGTATAGGATACTTGACATTCTGTAGTCAGCTGGTTAAATAATAGCCTTTCTAGACACCTAACTAGTTTTATTCAGTGGAACACTTGAGATTTTCTTAATTTGAGTTTTAAAATTTCTAAATGTTTAGCTGTTTTTTCTTGTCTATTAAGCCAGCTAATGTCAGGATACAGTAGAGCAATTATTCTGACATGTACTTATGAGGTGTGATTATTAAACAATGAATGTTTAATTAAAAATTAAAAAATTGTTATAGTAAAAGACATTGCCATTGATCTCCCTGAAAATATTCCCCCCCTCCTTTTGATCACATCTATCCCATCACTTTTGCCACTTTCTGAAGCAGTTCTGGAAGTTCTCTTTCATCAGTGTCTTTTCTTGGTGGTTTTGATGTCCTGAATGGATTAAAAACATTATGGCAATTTCTGTCAAATAAAAACTCATCCACTTAATTCACCAGATCTGGCACTGTGTGACTTCTGGTTTTTCTTTAGTTAAAATGATGAGGAAAAGGAAATGTTTTGAATTGATTCAGGACATTGAAGCAGTCAATAGTACATCTAAATAAAGATACTAAAGAGGACTTCTAAAATTGCTTCAGAAAGTGGCAAGAATTACAGAATAAGTGCATTAAAACTGAGGGGAAGTAATTTGAATGGGATTAATAGCAGTGTTTCTTTTACTATAATGAATTTCATAAAAAAAAGTTAATGTTCACTGTATTTTTGGATCACACTATGTACATCTGCAAATCTGGATTCAGAAAGTAAAACTATCAGCATTTTTTGTTTTTTTTTTTAAACACCATACCAAATGATAAGAAAACTGAGGAACTATATTTAAAAAAGGAAAAGCAGAAATTCATTTAGTGTTGGAGGTGTACATACACAAAACCCTAGCATACACAAACCTGTGTGTGATCCCTAGCACTGAAGAAAGAAAAAAAAAAATCATGTAGTTTTGTAATCTCTTTTTCCCCTAAACACATACTAAAATATTATATTAAAAACTTGCAACATGGTACAAAAATGATATATCCCTACAATCTACCTATAGCAATCCATTGAATCCTAGCATTTTAGTGTATTTTTTCTAGTGTTTTAAAAAATTACATATATTTAAAGTGTGAAACATGCTGTTTGATATACAGGTATACAGTGAAACGACTACTACAGTTAAGCAAATTAACTCACCATCTTTCATAGTTACCTTCCCCTCCACTGTGTAGGAATGCCTGGAATCTGCTCCCTTGCAAATTTTTCAGTATACGAAATTGTTAACTAGAATCCTGTTTACCTGAGATCTCCAGACCTCATCCTAGTCTTTTTGATTTGTTGTGTTTTTTTTTGTTTTTCTGTGACAGAGGCTCAGTATGCAGAGTTTAGTCTGGTCTTGAACTCACTGTATAGCCCAGGCGGCCTGGAAATTGCAGCAATCCTCTTGGCTCAGCCTCCTGAGTGCTGGGATTACACCCAGATTCATTCTGGGCTTTTTTATACAAGCCTACATCATATATTTATAATCCAAGTCTAAAATGTAATTTTAAAAATCTACATAAGAGCCACTTAAATATGAAGACTATAAATTACCAAACCAGTCTCTTTCTACTATATGCATTGTTTTAGATTTTTTGATGATGATCATATCTTAAGATTTTAAAAAATGGTTACAAACAATATGTAGGGTTAAAAATAAGTATAAATGAATGTAATTTCCAAATTTCCCAATGTTCACAATAATGAACAACTATTAACCAGATTTATGGTCTTAAAAATACTAAAATTTCAAACAAAATCACTTATTCTAGCAATTACGTACACCTCTTACATATCCTAACAATTTAACACATTGTTTTCATCAGTTAATATCTGTTAACATTAAAAAAGCAGCAATAGGTACCTGTTGATAGCGAATCACAACCATGATCAAAAAGTTCTCCTAAAGGAGAACTACTATTGGTTCTTCTTGCTTGTTTCCCATCTATAGCATCCAAAGACTGGTAAATGAAAAGGCCACATGCACAAGCAACATATGCCCAGAGAGGTGCCTGTAAAATAAAATACAAAGGCAAATATATTTCAGAAATATTAGCTATTATGTCTGGCTAGTATACTTTTTAATATACTTTAGATATTTTATGCTCATTCTCTGGAGAAGTACTGCTAGCTGGAAGAAATGCCACATGATGCAGAACTTACCAAAAGAATTAGGATTGTTATGAGAAATAATGTCCCTTTAGGAGTACTCAAGGAGATCATGGAGAACTTACAGTCAACCCTCCATATCCCTGGGATTCTAATCCATGGATTTAACCAACTGAAGCTTTAAAAAATTTAGTATAAAAAACTGCATCTGTACTGAACATGTACAAGCTTTTATTTTTGTTGTTATCCCTTCACAATATAGCATAATGAGTACTTACAAAGCATTTATACTTTATTTAGTATAAGTAATCTGTTGATGACTTAAAGTATAAGGAAAAATGTATGTAGGTTATATCCAAATATTATAACATTTTAAAAAAGACACTTAAACATCTGCAAATTTTGCTATCTGCAGGGGAGTCCAACCACTAATCCCTTGTCCAAAAGGTGATTGTACGTCACAGAAATTTCACAGAAATCTTATAGGAGACTAGGGTATCCTTCTAGAAGATTCTTCCAAGTGTTTTGATTTTAAGATTGTAAGAGTCAATTAATAAATAATCTTACATGCTACTCTCAGGAGGAAATCAGTAGGCTAAACAATAAGAAACAGATTTTCCTACTGCAGGACCTATTCCAGTCTTTAATACTGCTAATACACACTATGAATATTCGAGAAGGGGAAATAACATATTAATTTTCCACATTTACTTACGTATGTAATTTAAACTTCATCAGTGGCTCATAGAATACTAGAGAAATGATGATCCAGTGCACATAATGCTGAGAATATTATTTAAAAAATATCTATAGTCATATCTTCAAGGAATAGTTTCTCTCAGAAACTGAACTGCTGGTATTGAATTTAAATGCTATGTATTTAAAAAGAGAGGGCTGGGGATATGGCTCAGCAGCACAAGTGCTTGCCTGGTAAGTGCGTGGTCTTGAGTGATTCCTGGTACCAAAATAAAATGAAATAAAATAAAATAAAATAAAAAAGTAAAAATAGAGTCTCTACTTGGTTGATTATCTTAAAGAATGTATAAGAATGTTTTACATCATTTTTCACTATTTTTGTCCAGGTGATCCATATATTCTGCACAGCAAAGGAGTTTCTCTCTGAAAGAGGTCTGTTTAGAATTCGGTTATCAGAAGTTAAGAATCTTCCCTGAAACATTTTCTTAATGTTCCACATCAGAGGACACTGAGGCTATTAAAAGAACCAGAGAATACCCCCCCCATAAACTAGATCCAGAAAAGCAATTATGTAACCATACTTTACATGTAACACTACTGAAACGGGCAATTAATCCTGTGTGACAAAGAACTCCCTCTTCTGGATGTTAGGTCTAACGCTTCTTGCTTGTGTATTTCTAAAAATTTGTTTGTTTTGAGACAGGGTCTTGCTGCGTAGTTCAGTCTAGGCCTTGAACTCACTATATAGTTTCTGCTGGCCTCCAACTTATAGCATTCCTCCTGCCTTAGCCTCCTGAGTGCTGGGATTACAGGTGTGCGCTACCATGCCCAGCTGCTTCTTGCTTGTAAAGGAATTCAATAATTCAGGCTGTGCTACCTTACGCAGTAGTCATTAATCATGTGTAGCTATTTTAGTTTAAGTTAATTAAAATTAAAAATTCAGTTACACTAGGTGCATGTCAAAGTTCAATAGCCACATGTGGCTATGGCTACCTTAATGGACCATACAGACATTTCTACCATCACAGAAAATTCTATTAGAGAGTTCTGCATTAGGGAACTAGAAAAGCAGGGCCTTCCTGGGCTCTAAACTTAGTATTTTAATGGTGTGAAGTATTACTACGGAACAGAGATTTAACTTCAACTATCAGTGTACATACAATTCTACAAAACAAAAACAATTACATACATTAAAAAAGACAGAGTAAGGCTCTCTTCTGATTTTCCTGTCTTCCTGTAAATCTATCTGTAGTACACTAACTTCATATTTATGTACTTCTTCCTTATTCCCATTATTCTACAACTCTCAGAGGCATTTTAAAAACAAAGCTTTGTAATTTTATAAGTACAGTCTCAGTTAACAGCCTAGGAAAGCCACTAAGGTAAAAAAAAAGGACAAATACATGGCATTACCGAGCTTCTCAAACAGAGCCGAAGGACTTACATATGTACAAATGTACACATATGCTAGTCAAAGTTTTTTTCTCTTGTGAGAATACATCAAAAAAAATTGTAATACATGGTTATGCTAGAGTAGAGGTAATAGTGGAAGGGTTGGAAGCAAAGGCAGATAAAAGGAAGATTTTACTTTTTGTCTTATACTTTTCTTTGAATTTTTACATGTATTTTTTCCCGTTCCCTTTTTAAGGTCAATCAAAGTTAACTGTGCAGTGAGATTATGGGCAATATGGCATTTTAACTGTTTTTTCTTTCACTTTTCTTTTTTTTTTTCTTGGTACTGGGAATCGAACTCAGGACCTTGCACTTGCCAGGCAGGCACTTGTGCCACTGAGCTATATCCCTGGCCCTTCAAAGGAAGGTTTTTTTTTTCTTTTTTGGTTTTTGCTTTGTTTTGTTTTTTGGTACTGGGACTTGAACTCAGGACCTTGTGCTTGCCAGGTGGTGCTTGCACTACTGAGCTATATCCCTGTCTCCTCATTTTTCTATATTAAGAAAAAATCTAACAAGTTAGTGAGTTGAATCAAAAGTATTAATCTTAGCAATAAAAAGAAATAACAAATGAGAATTTAAATAAAAATTTCTTATCACTGGATTCCAAAAAACTGTATTTAAATTCAAAAGAACTTTCAATGGTAAGTCATAGCTCAATTTTGGCTTTCAAGTGTATAGGATAGATAACACTAACATCATTATCTGCCTTTTGTGGAAAGCATATTAACATACAGTAAGCAGTAAGACAAAAAATCCAAATTAGTTTATGATACTAAAAAGAAACTAGCTGATGAGATTTAAATAATAAGCAAATCACAGGGTTGGGAATATTTTCATACTCCTTATGAAAGACAGAAATCAATCAGGCACAGTGCCACACACTGGTAATCCCAGCACTCTGGGAACTGAGGCAGGAGGATTCCATATACAAGCCTAGCCCAGACAAGATTTTTTTGTTTTGTTTCGTTGAGACAGGGTCTAGTTATGTAACTCAGGCTGGCCTTGAACTCCAGCAATCCTCCTGCCTCAGCTTCCCCAGTGTTGGGATTACAGGCATACACCACCTTGCCCGGCCCAGCCCAGATAACTTAGTGAGACCCTGTTTGACAATAAAAAATAAAAAAGTTTGGGAACGTAGGTCAGTACAAAGGTCCTGGGTTTAGTCCCTAATACCATACACAGAAAAGAGACAGAGAAAGAGCAAGAAAGACTGGGAGAGAGTGAGCAAGAGAGAAAGAGAAAGACAGAGTGAGACTGAGATCGCCTTGGGATGCTGTGGCACGGGATTGCAAGTTCCAGCCCAGTTTGGATAACTTAGCAACCTGTCTTGAAGAAAAATAAAGCTGGAAATAGGGCTAAATATAAAGACCCACTCTACATTTCTACCTTAGGAATTTTAAAATAAGGACTAACTCATTTTCCTTTTTATCTACTAGGAAGTATACTTTCTGCAACAAAAAAATAAACCCAACTGAAATCAGTAAAATAGTGTACTAGTTAGCTTTTCACTGCTGCAACAAAATATCTGACATAAACCATTTAAAGGAGCAAGGTTTTATTTTAGTTCACAGTTTCAAAGGTTCGGTCCATAGTCAGCTGCCTGGAGCCAGTAAAATCCAAGGTCACATCCCCATGATCTACTTCCTCCAATGAGGCTCCACCTCCTAACAGGTCAACAGCTACAAACTTATCGCTAGGGTGTAAGACACTGCATCTCTTAATTCAGTCAAATTGACAATTACTGGCACAAACAGTAATTGTGTCTTTTTTAATGTATGTAATTGTTTTTTAATGTATGTAATTGTTTTTTCTTTTCTGTCAGAAAGAGTGCTATCTGCAAATCTGATCCATTAAAAAAATCAGGAACTAAAAAAATACATCGAAAGTTCTTAATACGTAGATATGAACAATGATCTCTTACTGGTGAAAGGCTCATAAGAATTACAGCTATAATGAATGGAAATTTTTCTGGATGATAAATGTGACTCCAAAATGCTTGCTAGCAAAAATATAAAAAATTTAAAGATTTAGATAAATTTATAACTCCATATATTATATATTAGAGAAAATCAGGCATGGGAGAAGTTGCAGGAAGAAAAGGTTTATATTTAATCTTTTTTGACCAAAGCAGTAATAACCACCTCATTAAATGCGAGGTACCCTGACTGTAAGATCTTATTTAATACTCATTATTCCACAAAATAAGATTTAGAATGATAAAGTATGACTAGGAAAATTTACATACCTTACTGACGATCAGAGATAATAAGGACCTATCATGGAAGATAGCCATGACCTATTTAATGCCTTCTGATTCGAGCCTAACAAATATTTCTAGCATGCAGCAATAAATGCATCCAGGCATACCCTTTCTTTGTAGAACACTGCTTTTCCTTGCAGAGCAATAAACAGTGGCTTAGTTATAGTCTACCTTGATTCCTCATAGTAGCAATTTGGAAAATTTCCCTGTGTTCAGAGTATTTTCCATTCTGAAAGTTTCCCAAGTTTTAACCAATTCTGGGGTTACAGCAATAATTCCAAATCACTTAAAAACAGTGGCCAAGTAAAATAATGAAAGGGAACATGATACCTGGTATTCAATAAATGACTGTTCATGGCTGAACTACTTTTGAACCTACTGTCACCCCCTGAACCCCATCCTCGATTTACCTTAGGACTATTGGAGGGCTTTCATTGAAATCAACCCATTTCCCTCCTCTCACATATCCATACCTATAATGACATGTGAGAAGTGAATCAAACTCTTGTTCAGGGCTCAGGTAAGCTCCATGTGAAGCAACTCAAAGGACATTCGATAAAGAATCCCAGGGCATGCTTAAGCAATTGCAATGGTTTTTGTTTTTAAAGGTCCTGATTGAGGTACAACAGGACACTGAAGAAAATAAGGGAAAACCAGAAATATATTCATACAATCTATACAAATAATATTTGTACAGTAAAAAAGGAATTAAAACAAAGACAGTCAAGGTGGTGGAAATAACTACCTGGAAGGTAAAAACCACATTTTATAGGTAACTGTGAACTTTAATAGCCATTCACTTTAAGAGATATAGCAAGAAACTCACGAACTGATGAAATAGCAAGGAATCAGGTGGTGGCCATTTTATCTCCAAGGACAAAGTCACACAAAAAGATTGCTTTAAAAAATTACTTCAGCTTAAACCGAGATAAGGAATGTTGTGGCCATTATGATCTCAGATAGTGCAGAGTCATGACATGTTTAGTTGAAGATTACCCTCTATCTTCCTGGGTAACCTGAGACTGATTATTCTGATTAATACAGGCAAAACAAATATTTCTGACTCTCTTCCACCTACCTTCTTTAGTTTACTATTTGGCAAGGAAATCTTAAAACCAAAGAAATAAACATTAATTCACCAATTCTGATCAAGAGTACTAGTTTTGGTTTCAAGTAATGGGTATGCATAATAACAGAGGGTAAAAATAGAAAAGAGGTGTGAATCTGAGAAGGTCTACGTAGAATCTTGGTAATACTATGCTTCCTTTCTTAATGGCAGTCAGAAGAGGACATAGGACAGAAAATATATCATTCTCACCTTTCCTTTGCCCTATTTGAATAATAGTGATATACACGAAGTCTTTCAGCCATATATTTATAGAAGAAAAGAGATATTCAAAAATTCTCACTGGAATGAAGGAAAAAATACTTTTGATAACACTGGTGTATGGTTACACTACCTTAAATACCAGAGATGTTTCTCTCTGCTCATTTTAAATTTTACTAAGACTTTATTCAACCATCTAAAAAAGGAGGGGGGGATTCTTTTGTACAGTGTTGGGACTTTATATGTTAATTCCTGCTAGTATTAATTTACCTACTAGGATCACCATATACCCTCTATGGCTGGTGGTATTTGCATAAAGTTGGCTGTATTTATGATTTTATTACAGTGTGTATATTGTCTTACCTTTAATTAAAATGACCCCGAGATCTCAACTGTGATGTTTCTGGTAGAAAATAATGCTGTTATCTATTGTTTAAGAAGTTCCTCTTACCTGCTCTGTAGCTGTAGGGCAGTAGAAGACTAATAAAACAGTTGTACAGATGTTTATCAATAGTCCAATGATGGTGATGAGATTTGGGGCAATCCAGGAGGGAACTCTTCCAACTAACCATTCCCAATACCCCTGCATTAAGGGCTCAAGCAGGGACCGTCCAGCACTCTGGTATCTATGTTCTTCTAGCCGCTTTAGCTGGTGTCTTGACAATGGTGGTGTAGGTAACTGAAACAATTTATTAAATACACACCCCGTAGTACTCATATGCCCGAAGCCCATGGGGGACTCCGGGTGAGAATCTCCACATCGTTTCCTTGTTGACCGATGCCCACTCATGGATCTTGGTTTTCTTTAATGTGGAAAGAGCAATTTATCTTGTTTTGTAGCCTTTTGTGGCTAATGTTTATCTGGGGGGAAAAAAGACATTTGTTAGCTATTACTCAGTATCAGTAAATTTAAAAAAATTCAACCTGCTAATAGAGTAATATTAAACAGGAATTAAAACTAGGGGCCTAATTTTGGGTCTGGTTCTTGTTAAAGGTACATAACCTCACCTAGAAGTGAAAATTAAGGGACTTTAATAGTCATGCTTCCTGTTACCTTAGTTTGTCTGACCTTTAGATTCATACATCTTTCCATCTCACAATACTTCCAGTTATAGATAGATAGACAGACAGGAAAATTGATGTTCCAAGGTAACAGTTTAGTATTAATATCAGAGGAATGACTTAGTTGAAATGAGTCTTAACCTAGATTTTTATTTAATGAAAATCCCCAACATTTATGGAGCATTTTCATTATAGTACTCAAAACTAAGTACTTTCTATATGTGAACTAACTTATTCCTCACAACAACCCTAGAAGGTAGGCACTATTAATTACCTTCATTTTTTTTTTTACAGAAAAAGAAACTAAGGCACAGTGAGGCTAATTTACCTGTCCAAATCATACACCTTATAAATGGTATTAAAACAAACCTAGGGTTTCTGTTTAAGCTGAGCTGAAAAATGAAACCTATTGGTGAAAGTGGATATAAACGGTATTCTAGTTGGGAGTAACATTAGCAAAAAAAGTAAAAGGTAGTATTTTTCAGCAGTGTGACCTGATGATGGGGGAAGTAATAAAAAAACAAACGTAAGTAGATTAAATGATTACCGTTAATAAAGGACTTGAGTTTAATTCTTGAAGTACTTTCACTTGATTTAGAAAAGATTAGATAACACACTTAACTATAACTAAGGAAATAACTATAAGAATATTTTAAAATTTGCACATGATCTCAATAGTTTTAAGTGGTGAGGGCCTAGAGTAGGGTGGTAAAAATGGAAATACAGAAAACAGTCAAGTCTATAGATAATTTCTTAGGAATTATTTTAGAAGGAGAAATCAGCAGAAAATAGGGATTAGACACAAGAAGCGAGGCAGCAGAAGAGAAAGGAGTCAAGCCTGTAACAGAGTATGCCAGGAAGCTGAGGACAGAGGACCACAAAGTCCAGCCCACAAAAATTTAAAAATAAATAAACAAACAAATAAATTTTTTTAAAATAAAGAGGGCTATGGATGTAGCTTTGTGTGAAGGCCCTGGGCTCAATCCCTAGTACTATTTAAAAATAACATCAGTAGCTAGAGATTAGTGGCCCTACTGTCAAAAGGAAAAGTTGGGAAGAAAATCCCTTTCTGTTCTTTGTTTTTTTGGAGCACCAGAGTGGAATTGGAAGCAAGCATAGGGAGATAAGATACACACTCAACTTTTAAAAGGAATGTTTCCTTTTTGTTTGGTTTGTTTTTTGGGAGTGCTGGGGATTGAATCCAGAGCCTCTCACATGCTACAGAAGCCCTCTACCACCAAGCTACGCTGTCAGATCAACAATACCTCTTTCTCACCTTCCTTCTTTCTCTGTCTCTCGCTTTTTTCTTTTTTTTGGATACAGTGTCTCCATATGTTCCCCAGACTAGTCTCCTACTCTGGGACTTAAGCAATCCTCCTGCCTCAGCTTCTGAAGTAATTAGGTGTATAGTCATGAACTATTGCACCCAGTGATGCATAAACTTTTAAGTAGAAATGTTTAAAAGATTGGAGTTTAAGAGATGAAAATTTCAAGCCACCATTTAGAAGCCACAGCAGAAAGACTAGAAAGCAGAAAATTTCAAAGATAGGGGTTTGCAGGAAACTCACTATGCATAGAAGGAACAGAAACCCAGAGAGAAGGTAGGGGAGGAGGGGGGAAGGAGAAAGAGAAAGACAGACAGATACACAGACAGAAATAACAACAAAAGAATAATCTTAATTGAACTAAAAAAAAAAAAAAAAAAGGAGTGTGGCACTGAATCAAGAAAGATACACTTGGATCTTCTGGCTGAAAACGATCCAGAAAGCAGTATGAATTCCAGAAACTGCACTATGGGAGTATAGAACGTGATGGTGTATGCGACATCTCAACACTCGATCTAGTATCATGTCCAACTGTCACTCCTCCTTTGTGTGTGTGTATGTGTGCGCATCTGGTTTATTTTGCTTTGGTAAGAGTGGTGGAAAAGAAAAAGCCCACACAGTGGCTGGGGAAGGGGTGTGTGTGCGTGTATGTGTGTGTAGGGGGGGCAGAGGAACACTCAAACAAGGCTAGGCTAGACATGTGGATATAATATTGGTGCCCGTATATAGGCCAGTACTTCCTCCTTATATCCTCCTTCCTCCTTATAAATACCCACTTCCAAAATTTTAATTTATTAATGACTTAAGGTGGTATCAAAGACCTCTATCAATCATGTACTTCAACAATTAGCTCAGAAAATAGTCACTGTAGTCAAGCTAACTTCGTCAAGTAATTTTTAAAATCTCAAAAGAATCAATGCCACAATTTAACTAACTATGGGTCTCCAAAATAAAAATACTTAATATTTCAAACCAAAAATGCAAATCAAAGCTAAATTCTTAGTATTTCAAAGAATTCTTCCTCACAACTGCATCACAGGCCTATTCATTAAAACTGTTTCAGCAAATACTTATATAATGTTAAACGATTTGTGATGAGATCACTTGAAATCAAATAGCACTGATAATGACCAAAACACTTAGATTTACAGTATACAATTTTTTTACAATCAAATTGAATGATGCATTTTCATATTAGGTAAGCTATAATCAGCTCTTATGCAACTGCACTTGGAAGAAGAATAAAAAGTTAGTCGATTTGTAGTTTATTGTTGCCGTGTTCCATTCTCCTCCTATTAAAAAAAAGGTGATACCTCGAGCCTGCTTTTGGCATCGAACAGCTATAAGCAACTGATCCTTACGGTTTTAAATGTGAACATTTGGCAGGACTAGTTGACACACTGATCCTTTCATTCTGAGCCACCCCCCTCCCCGACCTAGATATTTTTAACCTTTTATTTTTTCCTTTAGAAAAATCTATATTTTGACAAACCTTTCTAGATTTAGCCATTATGTAATTAATACATGAAAAGAGACAATGAGTTTTTGATGATTTTCCTTGCTAACATTTCAACTTGACAACATTGTGTCTATGAAGCTATCAGCAACAACACTGTAAATATACTCAGATACAGGTAGCCTCTAACGTACAAATGCTCAGGCTACTTTGCTTTGGACACATACAAATAGCCAGAGAGGTTGCTGACACTTCCATAGGCCAATTTCCATTTCTTTCTTTCTCTCTCTCCGTTTCTGCCTCTCTCCCTCTCTGCTTCACCCTCCTTCCCTCCCTCCTCCTGCCCGCTCTTTCTTTCTTTCTTCCTTCCTTCCTTCCTTCCTTCCTTCCTTCCTTCCTTCCTTCCTTCCTTCCTTCCTCCCTCCCTCCCTCCCTCCCTCTTTCTTTCTTTCTTTCTTTCTTTCTTTCTTTCTTTCTCTCTCTCTCTCTTTCTTTCTTTCTTTCTTTCTTTCTTTCTTTCTCTCTTTCTCTCTTTCTCTCTTTCTCTCTTTCTTTCTCTCTTTCTCTCTTTCTTTTGGTCTTTTTTGAGACAGGGTTTCTCTGGGCAGTTCAGGCTGGCTTTGAACTCACTTTGTAGCCCAGGTTGGCCTGGAACTTGCAATGATCCTCCTACCTCAGCCTCCTGAGTGCTAGGATTACAGGTGTGCACCACCCTGCCTGGCTCATTTTTTTCTATTGCAGTAAAAATCATCTCAGAAAATCATCTCAGAAAAGGTAAGTTCTTAAATTTTAGAAAATGCAAAGTAAGTACAACATGGGAGCCGGTGGCTACAACAGGAAGATCAGGGCTATTGTACATGGTGAAAGGAACAAACGACAAGGGAATGGAAATAAGGAAAGGAAATATAACTATTACAAAAATTATTTAAGCACTTGAGAATTTTATATGGAGTCAGGCCTGTGTCAAAAAGCCTGAGCAGAAAGTATCTTTTCTTATCACAGTACAAAGAACTATAAAAAGAAAAAAGTAAAGAATTAAAATTATTGTTGGCTAGCCTCAAAACTTACCTACCAGCCAAGTTTTTAAGAAAAAATGGATTCCAAGTTCAATACGCATTCAGGCAATAGCTGGATGCAATGAACAAGACAGGCATAGCTTCAGCTCCCATGTCCAGTGGGAAAATAACTAAAAACTGGTAAACAAGCAGTAACATTACACAGTGATCTGATGGGCACTAAGAAGAAAACAGAGCGTTGAGCCAGAAAATAGCTTGCAGTACACACTTTAAACAGTTGTTGACGTCTCTGAAGAATTAGCTTTTATACCAAACTTAGGGAAAGAAGAAACCAGACTTCTTAAGAGCAAGAGAAAGAATAGTCCATGAGGCAGGAAAAAACTTGTCTTGTTCTCATATATCTGAGAAATCACAAGGGCTGGAAAAGCAGGATAACATGAAATCTGAAGAGTCAGAGGAATGTAGAGCTTACAGACTGTGGCAAAGACGAGATTTTATTCTCATAGAATGAAAAATTTCATTAAAAAATTTAATGTTTAATTCTGATATAACCACCAATGAGTTTATAATAAAACCTACAATTTTGGACTACAGTTTAATTGATAACAGGATATATTTTTGTATATCACATAAGCAAATATTTTAAACTGTAAAAAAAATTCCATCACCTGTAATTTAGTTTATGATAATACTGATCGAAATCTTCTAGTGACTGCAACCATTCCATTTGCAAATAACCTGGCTCTAGTGCTCTGCTCCCTTTGCAGCACTCATCACGCTGAATGTTTTCTGCCTGTTGACCTGGTTTGTTTTGTTCTTTTCACATACTGCTCAGTAAGCTCCACGAATGCAAGGGCCATGCCTCTTTTGTTAACATTCTTTTCCCACAATCCCATACTGTACCTAGCACTAAGTAGGTAATCAAATATGATTCATTTAATGTTAAACGAGCACTCTTAGTTGTTCTAGACCCTATAGAAATTTCAAGAAAAACAAACACACCATTCTATAACCCAAGAAGCTTAAAGGGTTGGGGGTAATCTTATATACAGCTATATACCATGCTGTCCATAAACTGCTTTGAGAATCCAAAGAAGACATATGGTCTGACAAGGCATTTTCTTTGTGCCGGCATGGATGATTATATGAAAAGACCAACAAAAGTACAAAAAATATAATCACATAACTAATGAATACATTTACTAAAATTACAATTTATAGGTCTCAAAAAATCCATCATGCAGACCATTTGTCTTTATGGCAGCTGAAGGTAATGGCATCCTGCCTACTTCATTCCTGTTGTGGACTTCAGCACAGTGAACATCTAACACATATCACATTTAAATAAACATAAAACAAAACCCAAAAAACTCTAGTTGCTGAGCAGAGCATAAGGTAAACTTACACAACATCCAACCTGTTGTGTAAAATTCCAGAATTTCCACTCCTCCACCCCATGTCTAAGGGTGCCAAGTTTTGATCTGCACTGATTCAGCACTATGTTTACAATCCTTTCACTGGGAACTGGGTAGTACAGAGGTCTTCCCCTTCACGGTACTAACAAGGGAAAATGCTAATGGTCAACACAATCAGGAAAGGGAGTAAATAAAGAACAAGAGAAAAAAGGAAGAAAAAAAGAAAGAAAATAAAAATAGTAGGATCACAGGATTAAGTTCAATATTATTTTACAAATGATCCATAAAGTAAGTTAACAAAAACAAAAGCCTTTTCAACGGACTTGGAATAAAAAATGGTACTGTGCAATGCAACCTGGATCCGTGTTTTGCTGAAGTGAAACTGTCCTTTTTTAAAAAAGGAAATAATTTTCTCCTGGGGGCAGAAAAAAAAAAAAAAAAAAAGCAAAAGTCTAGCATTTTAGAGGTTATTTTCTATTGAGAATCGCACAGCATGATCCTTAAAAAGAACACAATGGTAGCTTCTGCCAGCTTTATCTAACTTATTTATCTAACTTAGATTATCTAACTTAGTTCTTGGAGTAATGAAGTTGTACAAGGACTTTTAACTAGTTTTTCATAGCACAGAATGAATATGCAGCTTTTATAACTAATTCTTCGGATTTTATGCGAACGTCAAAGATTCTAAATTGGTAATATTTTAAATGCACTTTTCACAATATTGTGCTTTGAGTCAGTCAATCCAATACACACGTATTTGGTCACATTCCTACCAGTTCCTGAGTAGGAACTGAGTATTTTGAACAGATACAAATGGAACATTAATACTCATTGAAAAGCAACTACTACTTTGCTTACTGTCATAATATAGATTCAGTGATCAACTACAAGACTTTAGGCAAAAATCATGTATTTAATCCTAATGATGTAAAACGACAAAACTGCCAAGCACCAAACTGGAAAAAACAAACACGGCTAAATGTAAAGATCGCATTCGTTCCAACGTTCCCGGGAACACCGGCAAATACCAGCAACCCTCTTGTCTGTTCTCCTTCCGAGAATACTGGTGAAATAAACCTCGCTGGGAATCTCAGAGCTTGTCAATACAGTCTGAAATTTCTAGAAAAGTTGCTGACCAAGAAGTGAGGCCCAGCCACAAAACACCACCAGCGTATTCCAAAAGTAAGTCAAAGCCGGCGCAGGATGCTAGCCGGTTTGTGGACTGAGGTGCACCGGGGCAGGAGGGTGTGGACGTGACAGGCAAGGTCGGCTCCAAGCAGGCAGCGCCCTGGCCCCGGAACCCGCTCCGCACCGGCTAGCGGCGGCCCTCGCTCCCCGGACTCCGCTCCCACACTGCTCCCCGGCTCCCGCGCCAGGCTCCGCCACCTCCGTCTCCAGAGCCCCGGAGGGACAGTCACTCGCCCCTCGCCGTCCCCACAACCCCGCGCGCGAGGCCACCCTGCGCGAGGAGGAAGGACCGCGTCCGCCCCGGCTAGCCCAGCACAGCTACACCGTAACTCCCACCGCGGAGCTTCCAGCCCTCGCTCCAATCTCCTGGAGCAAAAGCCCCCACCAACACTCCTGTCTCTCAAAGCCGATCCCCGCCCGCAGCCTTACCCTGACCCCACCAAGTACGCTCCTAGAAATAACTCCGACTCTGGGGCACTCAGTGTCTCCGATCGGCGGCAGCACGTTCACGACACTTTCGCGATTGCCGTAAAGAGAGACAGGGTAGGAGGGAGCGGCGGCGCGCCCGGGGTTGGACGGGTCGCTCGGGAGCGCGCGCAGGCCCCGCCCTGTCTGCGAGCGGCGGGCAGGCTCCAGAGGACCGGGCTCTACTGCCGGGGTCAGCTGGGTAAGGTAGGCCGGAGGGTGGGGTGCGGGAACTGCACTGCCTCGCACCCTGCCACCCCCACCCCCCGCCCGCTCTCCCTTTAGAGCGGCGTGCCGGAGGGTGGGGAGCGGGAGCCGGGAGGTGTGCGCGTCCTAGCCGGGTCAACGCAGTCCACCCGGGTAGCCGGCGCGCGAGGCAGCCCGGACCCTCGCTGCCTGCGGGGTCCACCCTGCGGGGCGCCGGAGAGGGGCCGGCGGGCGTGGGATCCAAGGGGAGCGGTAGGTGCCCACCGATCGCCAAGCCTCAGGTCGCTGCCCCACCTGTCTCCTTGCCCGGTCCCCCGGTGTCGCCACTCCCGCCTCCCCTAAATGGTGCCCCGCAGCTGTCCTTCGCAGCAGACAAAGCGAAGCCAGGGTCTTTACTTCAGTGCCGCATCCTAGCGGAAAAATGCAGCCGTCTCAGTAATTCCTCGGCTTTTGCTTGAGGAGATGCCTACAACTTTGCCCGCAGTCCCCCCAAAACAATGTCTGAGTTTACGGCAGCACTTCTGGGCTTGTGCTGCGTGGTGGGAGCAGGGGTGGGGGGAGTTGCCTCGGTCCACGAACTTAGTTCTTTCTAGGATTCTGGTCGTGAACCGAATCAAATTCAGCGGTTAGGTCCAATGCTGACTTCATGGGGAAATTTGACTCTGTTCTCGACCAATTTGGTTTGCGACCGGAATCGTGGAGAGAATTGAGTTTGTGAACCGAGGTAACACTTTCAGGTCCTTGATGATCTATTCACACGGAACTCAAATTGTATGGCAGGGAGGGAGTGGTCCAAATACCGAAAGGAAATTGCTGTTCCTTTGTATTCCCACAGTCGTGCTTTACTGTAGCATGCATCGAAAAGACAGTTTTAATTTATAAATCTGTACCCAAATGCAACTCTAGAATTTGTGTTGCATTATCCGTTTCTCATTTCCAAGTAATTTATAAAAATAAAATTCACAGTCTTCTAGATTCTTTAGTATTTAACTATTAGAAAATGTGTTTGTCAGGAGGCCAGGTTAGAAGTTAGGAAAATAACTGTTGCGTATTATGTTTTGCTTTGGGCCTAGTGGTTCTTTGGACCCCTGTAAGCAGCTCAGGGCTTTTGTCTGTTTACTTGGAACTTTCAGAATTTGTTTTTTTATATCTTAGAAGCCACCACTAAAAGGAGACAGCAGAAGTTAATCTTATTACCAGTGGTTTTATAATTTTGTGAAAAAAGTTAACTGGATTTCTGATTCATGGATCTTCAAAGAAAGCACAGAAAATAAGAGGTGCAAGAACATTTTGTTAAACACTGTTAGTGCCATGTAAAGTTTATTCCTGAATTTTTAAAAGTATTTTAAAAGTTTGTTTTTGAGACAGGGTCTCGTTCTGTAATTTAGGCTGGCTTTGAATTCACAGTGTAGTCCAGGCTCGTCTTGAATTCACTGTGTAGCCCAGGCTGGTCTCCAATTGGTGGTAATCCTCTTGCCTTAGCCTTCTGGATGCCTGGATTACAAGTGTGTGCCACCATGCCTGGCAATGTAAAATGTTTTTTTAAACTATTAACCGTAAAAATTCTTTTTTTTTTTTGTTTTTTCTCCTGTACCAGGAACCGAACTCACGACCTTGCGCTTGCCAGGCAGGCGCTTTGCCGCTGAGCTAAATCCCCAGCCCCTACCGTAAAAATTCTAATTTTGCTAGTTAGGACTTACTCTATCAGGCCGTCAGCTTTGAAGTTACATGGGCAAGTAGTTAACTTTCTTATCAAGCCTGCATTTAAATTTCTCAATTGTCATTGGCAGACTGGCAAACTATTTCAGCTGTTAGTTTAAACAACAGTGTGGACAGCCTAAGGAGATATGGATACAAGGTGATTTATACCTAGAAAGCATATATAGAAGTTGTACCCCATATAGGTGGTTATGTATGAGTGTACAAAATTAATGTCAACTGTCATTATGTATAATTTACATATATATATGAATGGCTGAACCCACTCCTTGCTAATGTTTTAAATTTTGAGAAAGGATCTTGCTAAGTCCTTAAGTTGTTTAGGTTAAGTACAGTCATGATCTTTTTGCCTCAGTCTCCTGGAGTGCTGGGATTCATTATTATATTTTATGCTTGTTCTATTCCACTCCAAGGAACAATTCTTTAAGGATTTGGTTGTTTTACAGATTAGAATACTGTAACTCAGAAGTTAAGTAACTTGCTTGAAATCATGCAGTTGGAAAGTAGTAATAGTAGGACTTGTTTTCTGTTAGGTAAATCTTATCTCACAGCTGTGTTCTTTACGTTGCATCAACACTAGGTATGTTTTATTTTCCTTAATACTAAGGTATCATTCTTCCCTAATTTATACCCCTCTTCTGTAGGGAGAAACTTTTTTTTTCTTTTATTCTTTTTGAAGTCAGGGAAAGATGTCTGGTATAATAAAGCACAAGAAGATTAGTATCCTAAAATTAAAACATTATTTAATTCCAGATGTTAATACCATCATTATAAAAAATTCAGGTATCAATTCTTTAAAGAAAAATAGTCCGGTGATAATTCTGTAGCTTCATGTTCTCTGTCCGTGAACACTGTTGATGTGTTTAAATTGTACTATTTAAGATCATGTGGACTTAAATAACTCTTGCCTTTGTCCATGGATTTTAGAATTTATAAATGGTGCTGGTCTGAACAGTTTTGAAGACCGAAATTTTGTGAACTTGTAAAACAGGTCATTTATCTTTCAAATTCTAAAAAGAGGAACAAATATTTGTTGACTACCTATGGTAGTGACATTATCTCATTTAGTCCTTCAGTTACTATCGATTATGCATCAACAGTGTGTCAGGTTCTAGAAATAGAATTGCCATCAGTTAGTGAAGTATATTAGGGCTTTGAGAGAACTTAGGGTTACTCTGAAGTCTTAGAATCTGGGTAACTTGGAAAAATGGCAGTGCTACTTATTGAAAGAGAAAATTTAAGAACAGTTTTAAGAATTAGATTTTTTTTCATTTCAATAAATATTGTGTGATTACTTTGGGCAAAGTCATCTACTATTCTTAGGTGGACAAATAGTCCCTTTATAAGAATTTTATTCACTTAATACGTCTCTCAGATTTCTGTACCATAGAAGAAAGAGCTGGAGTAGATGTACAAGTCAAGAGTTCTCAGAATAAGGGGTGTTTGCTTCCAGATAGAAAGGAATTAGATGAGGTTGTGTGGAAGACAGCATTTGAGCTCTGTTTTGAAGAATAGAAAGAATTTATACATGTAAAAATAATAAAATGTTAGGAGGCTGTACTTTTATTAGTGGGATAAACGAAAAAAATATTTTTTATTTGTGGTACTAAGGATTGTACCACTTTTATTAGTGGGATAAACAAAAAAAATTTTTTTATTTGTGGTTCTAAGGATTGAATCCAGGGCCTTTGCATTTTACATCCCAGCCTCCATTCCCTTTAATTTTAATTTTTAAAAACATTTTTTTGACACAGGTTCTTGCTAAGTCACTAAGTTGCCCAGACTAGGCTTGAATTTGGTAATCCTTTTCAACCTCTCTGAGTGCTTGGATTATAGTCCTACACTACCTGGGCCAGTAGAAAAAATGTTTTGAAAATCCTTTACCAAAGCACCTAAAGCCTAAGTAAATGAAGTTACCCTTTAAACTGCATAGCAACTCTTGTTGGAAAGAAAGGGAAATTTTAAGGGCTGAAAAGTCAAAAAGGGAACTGAGTCCAGAGTGGTATACCAGTACAGTAGCAAATCTCCACTGGGGACATTTGGCTCATAGCAAAACACAGCATAATGACCGACAAGTGATGCAAAGGCTCCCCCTGTTACCTATTAGGGGAGAGAAATAGAATTCACAACCCAGTGACTTCCAGGTACACAACCCAGCAGGCTCCATTCACGTGGTAGCTTGCATAACATGTGCCTGTGTTTCAATGGGAGACATTTTCATGGAATATAGTATTAGTATTTCCATGTCAAATTGTATAACTCTTGGCCTTAGAGAACCTCCTCTCCCCAAATTCAGCTAGGCTCTCAAAAGTCAACACACTCAGTGAAAGGCTGAGAAGATCTTATAATTCCCTACTGGAAAAAAGGAGGTCACAAAGGAATTTACATTTTCACCAGAGGCTTGGGTGCATGAATAAAGATACCCTCTGAGATCTTGAAACTATGGAGTCTGCCATCACTCAGCTTCAAGGTTAAAGTTTACATCATGGTCTAAAAAGTGGAAGCCACAAAATTAAAACAGTTGGCCCGGCCTAGTAATGTGCCCAGATGGCTTGACAAAAGTAAGTATAGATCCTCTGGGAAATAATTCACCCTTAATTTAAGCCTTTTAGAATACTCCGGATTAAGATCGTCCACATAACAGCTCACAGTTGAAAACCGTAAAACACATGGCAAGGGTTGGCTGACCAGCAAATACTGGAACTGGGTTCCTAATTGGAAACAGAAGTGATTCAACATTTGTACAAATTGAGAATTGTTGTCCCAGAAACCCATGCTAGGGAAGGCACCTATAGGATCTTGGGAAGGAATTGGCATTATTAATTTACTACTTAAAAGAAAAGAAATGTTGTTAGACTGTTAAGGACTGACAAGAAACAAGTATAAAAAAGAGGACATTATAATAACTTAGGCAAAAAATTTTTGAAAGAAAGTCTATAATAGTGTCTTTAGGGATAATGAAAGAAGCTTACTTAGCAAGATGTAAATATATCTATTTAGCAATAAGTCAGATGATCAGAGTAAATGGGAAGTGCAAATTTAAAAAATGGCTGAGATTTCATTCTTTGGAAAGTTAGTCAGAGATAAGGAAGATGAGCACAGTGGAGGATTGTGGTGAACTGTAGTAACTAGCATCTTTATGAAGTTCTTGGGAAATACTAAATTCTTTTAGGTCATCACGCTATGAGAAGATGCTCCTCCACATTTTTCTCATATACACACAAGAGCAATTTCTTGTAATTTAAGAGTATTTCTATGTTTTTAAAAATTAAATTTTAAAAAGAGGCACAAAGATGTAGTTTTTCTAGTATGCATTATTATCTCTTACGTAACATTCGCAGTCTGGAATTTAAGGGAGAAATGATGTGTGGCATATATGTATTTAGGTGCTTTTTTTTCCTCCCTCATGTAGGAGCTGGAAATGCAGTGGTGAATGAAACAGTTGTTTCCTGCTATAAGACTAGGGAGAAAGATAAAAACCAAACAAGCTAGTGGCCAGTAAGTGTGATGAGTGTTTTGGTTGGAGGGATACAGGGTGCTGCTGGAAAAAACAAGGACACTCAGCTGGAACCAGAAAGAGTAGGGATTTTTAAAAAAAAATGTATAGAAATTAACTGGGTAGGTAGTGAGGATGGGTTGATGGCATTTAACGTAGTCATCCAGACAGGCAACTGTGTATGAGGGTCTGACGGTGTGCAAGAGAGAGTGACACATTTCAAAATGTGTAGGACGTTTGTTATGGCAGTGCAGCATGTGATTCTGCAAACTCAAGAATCAAATTGTTTCAGTTGGAGTTTCGTCTCTTCCGTGATCCAACCCTGTGGCCTTGGGTCGTTCTCTTATCCTCTGTAGTACTATTAAAAAGAGTAAATGAGATCATATATTTGTGCTTTGTGATGGTGAACAAGATGAGTGTTAGAACTAGGAATTGGGACTAAAGAGTAGCTGGAGGTGAGTATAGAAAGATTATAGAGATCAGATGATGCAAGAACCTGACAGACCATGTTAAGGAAAGAGAGTTTGGAATAGCTTAAGAGAACTATTGAAGGATCCTTTGTAGGAGAGTAGTGGTCAGATTGGCAATTTAGAATTAGAAAGGTTGCTCAGGTTTTAGGGTGGAATCTAGACTAGTTGAGGTCAATACTGGAAGAGCACTGAGTTCAGGAAAAACCAAAAACACTTAGGAAATACTGTTTTTTTCTTATATTACTCAGTAATTAACACCAAGAAGTGTGGAGATTTCACCCAACTACTGCTAATCAGTTCTGCAGTGTATATGAGCTGAATGTCCTCTGATTTGATTTAGTTCTCACAACTTCTGCCTATGGATAGTATCAGATACCAAAGATTGAGGGCTCAACCCTGAAAGATTTCCCCCTACTTTAGATACCGTTCACAAGCCCCAAGTTGCTTCTGATGATCAGCTGTCCAGGGGGATCCACATGATCCCCTTCATTAATTATCTAGAGTGGCAGGAAGATCAGTTAATTTTCTAGTGCCTCACAGAACTCATGTGTTTATTTATTATAAAGCATATCACAGAGGATGTAGGTAAAGATGTCCATAAGGTAGGCGAGGAGTGAGCATTCACCACCATCTGTCTTCGTTGCCCATATTCTAAACCATCTGGGCGCACCACCTTCCAGGATCTTCCTGTGCTTCAGCTATCTGAAAGCTCTCCAAAACCAGTTTTTTGACTTTTTATGGACATTTCACTACATAGGCATGATTGATTAAAATATTTGCCATAACTTTAGCATGTATAGCCCCTTTCCCTCCTGGGAGATTCAGTGGGTGGGACTGAAAGTCCTAATCCTCTTAATCATGCCTGGATCTTTACTGTGGTCAGCACCCATCCTGAAGTTACCTAGAGAGTGTCAATCACTAGTCATCTCATTAGCATAGAAAAGAGGGTTCTAAGGGTTTTAGCAACTTTTTGCCTAGAAACAGATGAAGACCAAATACAGGTGGCCCTCTATATCCCTAAGTTTTGCATTTGCTGATTCAACTAAGTAACAGCAAGTTGATTATTGTTACCGTCCTATTAGCCTGATTTGAAACTATTTTATTTCTATTTTTATTCTTTTCATTAAAATAAAAGAAAATATTAGAAAAAAATTTCATTTGTACTAAACATGTATAGACTTCTTTCTTTTCATTATTCCCTAAATAGTACAGTATCACAACTATTTACATTGTATTTATATTGTGGCAGTTATTATAAGTAATCTAGAGATGAATTAAAATATGTGGGAATATATGTGTAGGTTATATACCAGTACCATGACACTTTATAAAGGGGACTTAAGCATTTGCATATTTTGGTGTCTGAAAGCAATCCCCCTGAAGATATGAAAATACAACTGTATATTTAATAGCCTCACAAGGACAATCTAGGAAGTTATAATAATAATGTAGACCATATGATAGTGATGGTTTAGAGTATGAGCACTGAAGATAAAGAGAAGCAGAAGATTGGAAAGAAATTTAGGAGACTAATCAGTACTAGTTCTTGGTTATGAGTGGGATGATGGGACAGCAAGTCTGCTTCTGGCTGTGGCCAGTTGGTGTATCTTTGTTCCATTTACTAAAAAAGCAAAGAAGAATGGTTGTTGGAATGTTACGAGAATGCTTTCAGAAGGGGAGCCCCTCAAGGTGATAAATACCAGGTCATGGGAGTAGATGGCTAATGCAGAATGGAGGAAAGTTATGAATTACTTTTTCTAATTTGTTTTTTCTTCTTCAGGAGACCTGCTTGAAATGTGGTTTCAGCAAGGCCTCAGTTTCCTTCCTATAGCTCTTGTAATTTGGACAGCTGCTGCTTTCACGTTTTCATACATTATTGCAGTAACACTCCACCATGTTGACCCTGCTTTGCCTTATATCAGGTCAGTGGTATGTATTCTTTGTGTAGGAAAAGCTTTGTGTCTTATTCATAGTTTACATTAAAGCTGATGTTTTATGTCCCCATTTAGAAATTAAGAGTATTACCCCGAAGTTACAAGAACAGAGGAACATAAAATGAAACTGGTGCTTAGCTCTTTCTGTGTGGTAGAAAAAATGTGGAGAGAGCAGGATGAGATACAGTTAGTGCATTCATTAATGAATTGTCACATTTTAGTGCCTTGTCTTCCAAATAAATGTTCAGGGTGTCTTAGAACATATAATTGGAATTATTCTCCCCTTAAAATTAAAAATGCTGGGGGCTGGGGATATACCTCAGTGGCACAAGCGCCTGCCTGGCAAGGTCCTGGGTTCAATTCCTGGTACCAACAACAACAAACAAATCAATGCTACAAACAACAGTAGTGATAGAAAAAGATTGTAGCAATGACAAACATTTATTGATCTACTTACTATTTAGAAGGCAGTGTTCTAAGCATTCTTCATGTCTTAGATAATGGAATCTTTACAGCATTTGTATGAGGTAAGATGGGAACTGTTACCCTAATTTTGAGAGGAAAATGTCAGCTTTCTGTTAGTTGATATGATGATGATTTGACTCATGATTTGATAAGTTTTACTGCATGACCGGTTGACCCTGTTACTTTTGGCCTGTAACAGAGCAGTGAATCATGGAGGTAATGTATAGGAGAGCAGAGCTGGTGCAGGAGCAAGAGAGATTGAGAAGGGGACTCAGGGTTACATAATCCCTTTCAAGGAAATGCCTCTTGTCTTAGTTACTTCTCTTGTTGCTGGACAAAATACCCAAAACCTGTCCTACCTCACCTACCATCCTATAAATTTATTGAGAGAAAGAAAGCTTCTCCCTGAGAGGGATATAAGGAGGCCCGGAAAGTGGGTTGCCCCTCTGTTTCTCAAAGGTGTTTTATACAGCAAAGCCATGAGGTGAGGTGGGCTTAAGGTAGGATAGAACTATAATCAATAAGATTGCAAGTATAGTTGCTTAGGTAATACTGGTCCAATGGCAAAACATAGGATGGGTGTGAGGTGGGACAAAACTGGTCAACCAGTAAGTATACAACAAGGACAGTTGCTAGGGTAATATTAATTAAATGAGGATCAAATGGGGAAACAAGTCTCATGGCAAGCACACATGGGCAGCAAGGACTTTCCTGGGAGGGGCGGGTTAAGGAGGTTTGGTCCTCTACTCCAAGGTGATTGTTGCCTACTTACAGTATAAATCACTGCTGTTCTTCCCTGGGGAAAGTATATGGGTATGTAGTTCTTCTTTTTCTTGAAGCCTAGCCTTCAGTGAATATGCCTCCAGCCATAGTTGTCTTCTGCATTGACCTCTCAAGGGCCCAGCTCCGTCTGACTGCCCACAGTATTCTTACCTATCTTAGCTATCTATGATATTTCCTCCCTCTGATGAAGTACCCCACCTGTCATGAAGGGGCAAAGATCAAAGGCTGATCTGGCTTCCAGCTAAAGAGTGTGGTAGTTGTGATTGACAGAGATACTCCACAGATGCTCTATCTAAAGGCCCTTAATAGGCGCCAGGTGTTCTTGTCTTGGGTGGATGTACAGCTTTAAGTCCGGAGGAGAGAAAGCCACAGAAACAAGTATGCATGGACCAAATAATGAAGTCAACAGGATAATTATGAATATAGCCAACAATGTTTTCTACCAGGAGGAGACAGTAATAGTTTTCCATAAAGAGGCTAAGGAGAAGGCCCAGGGAATTTCAGAATCTGACGTGGCATTAACCTTTCGTCTGATATCTTGAACAGCTATTGAGATAGTAGCAGAAGAATCACAAATATACACACAACTTTCAGCTTTTATAATTGCACAAGTATCCTCTTGTGCTGCTGTTAGAATGTCTAATGCCATCCAATTTTGGAGGACGGCTTGCCTCATTAATTTTACTTCTTCATTCAGGAGAGAGAGACCAGCCTCAGTTTCATCTAAGACCTGCTGAGTATAGTTAGTTAAGGCCTTGATATGTTGCATGACATCCTCTAACACTAGGGAAGGGGTAAAGACAGAAGCCAAATGATCGTATCAGTGAAACACACTTCTAGCCCATTCATACCATAGGCGTGGGAAGTTTGCGGGTTTGTCAATACTTTTGGCACTTCTGCCTTGTAACCATGCAAATCCCAGTGTGCATTTTCCTATTCATCCAGGGAGCAGGTAGGGCCACAGATTGGTTCCACAGGACTGAGTGCCGCTGGGGGCTTCCTGTTTAATTTTGGGGGATTAAACCAGTTTGTTGCAAATCAGTTTTCAGGCTGTGAAGTTGCTGTGCATGCCTTGTTTGGGGGATTTCCATCCTTAGTATTTAGTAGAGTTAGGCAAATGAGAATAGGAATGATTTTTCTGTTCCCAACATAAGGGAGCCTTCCTACTAAGATGTCCTGTACTGGTGGTTAACCACAGATAATCATCCCATATCTGCAAATAGCCATCTTGGTATCTGTAGTTGTTGGCCCTCAAAATAGAACCCTTACTTTTATTTAATAGGAATTCTATGAGAGCCTTTAAAGAGGTTTCAGTGGCATTGTTAGAAAAAATTTACATCCAGGATTGTTAAAAGTGTAGTTTACAGGCCACTCAGCTACTGTGTAATGGTGGGCTAAACGATGAACCATTGAACTCTTATAACTCGTCAATATAGTCTTGTAGGTTATTCCAGTCATCTCCTTGGAGTGGGGATACCCACCAAGGAAGTCTGGAGGTCCTGGACCAAGGGAGCAAGCCATATATCCAGCAAGATGTTTGTTGTAATGACTGCATATTCTTGTGCCCGCTATTGAAAGGAATTGCATTATCCCTTACGTGGTAAAGTGATTAGTAAAAGTGCTAAGAATAACATTTTATTTTTTAAAAGTTTATTTTAAAAAATAAAAGGAAAACATATTAACAAACAGACATCCATTTATAAAATAGCATAAGAACAGTACAAACAAAACAGAGTTACAGACAAAGTTGTAGGAAATTAAGAATGGTTGCTTTAAAGTGATTAGTAAAAATACTAAGAATAACATTTTATTTTTTAAAAATTTATTTTAAAAAATAAAAGGAAAACATATTAACAAACAGACATCCATTTATAAAATAACATAAGA